AAGAGGCGGTGACGACCCCTAGTGATGTCAGTGGTAGTGTGAGCTCCCTTCCCTTCCTGACGGTGACGACGAAGAGCTCCTCTCTTGAGATGTGTGGCGAAGGATGGGTGAGCCTCGGTGTTTGTGTTTGTTGATTAGTTGTTGTGTGTCTGGGGAGGTACTTTAAACTTTCTGTGTCTTGGTTGATTCATTGTTAGTCTTTGGGCATTTGTGATGCTATTGGTTTAATTCCCTTGAGGATGATAGTTTAATTCATTGAGGATGATGGTTTAACTCCTTGAGAACTGTGGTTTAACTCCTTGAGAACTGTGGTTTAACTCCTTGAGAACTGTGGTTTAACCTTCATGATCCTGCTTCTGTACCAGGATTAACATACTTCAATCTCCTCTCTTCGTCTTACAGCAAGGCCGCGCTGTGCTGTTGCTGCTGCTGTTCTCGGCGGCGGCAGCAGAGACGGTGAGGGCCACGACCAAGGGGCAGCTGGAGAAGAAAGACCTCAATGTTGACTTACATCTCCAGGACCCCGTAGAGGCCAACCTTCCCCTCCAAGAGCCCGTAGAAGCCGACCTCCTCCTCCATCTCCAGCCAGCACAGAGTCAGCAGGTCTCTGTCGTGGCTGGTGGGGACCTCCACACCGCCGCTACAGGTAAGGTCGAAAAAGGCAAGTATGAACTTTTCATACTTCCCTGTTGGGCGCTGTAAACGCTTCTGCGCTTCACCTTGCACAGGATGTAAGGGGGTGCCCAATAAACTAGCCCCCTCGGGGGCAAATCTGAATCTGAGGTAAGGTCGACAAGTCTTGTGTTTCCTCTGGGATCTTCACCCTTGTGGTTCCTACTAGACAAACAAAGTAGCGTCTCGTAAACCATTTTATTGACCCGGTAATCATAAACAACGTCAACGCTCATAATAATTCTGAATTTATAAGAGACAAACACGTTATTTAATGTCTCCGTTTGATGAAGAAGTCAAGTTATTATGGATCTCAAAGTTAAATAAAAACTCGAGTCCTTAAAGGCATCTGGGTGCACGACAATTTCTCTTAAGTTAAGCCACATCAACAATACCAAACCAGAGTTGTTAATAAGAAGTTGACAAACACTGGAGCAGCAGATGTTTGACACGGCAACACTTACTCCTGGGTACATGACACACTTGCTTTTTTGTTGAAGTCCAAGTTTATACTTTAACTTGGGCAAATTACAAGTTCTCTTTGTGAAGTTTGTAGTGTGTAGGTTTTTCTGGAGAGAGAGAGAGAGAGAGAGAGAGAGAGAGAGAGAGAGAGAGTAATTATACCTTTAAATTTATCATCATAACTACTATTATTATTATTATTATTATTATTTCCCCTCTTTATATCCAGGTTACGGACACGACAAAGGGCACAAAGGCTACGGAGGAGGTAAGGGCCACAAGGGACACAAGGGCTATAAGGGCAGCTACCACGACAAGGCGGGCTACAAGGGCCACAAGGGCTACAAGGCTAATAAGGGCCACAAGGGCAGCCACTACGGTGACCACGGCAAGGCGCAGTACAAGGTGAGTGTTGACGGCAGTAGTAGTAGTAGTAGTAGTAGTAGTAGTAGTGTTGACGGCAGTAGTAGTAGTAGTAGTAGTAGTAGTAGTAGTAGTAGTAGTAGTAGTAGTAGTAGTAGTAGTATCGGAGTAAACATGCAGTGTATGTGTTGGAGGGGGCTGTGTGTGTCAGTGTAATGAACAGATTAACTGGATGTAGGGAATTATAATTGCCGTTGACTTTTAACTGAAACTGTTCTCTATAATCGCTCATCCACCTCTAACGTGACTATACAGCTCTGATTATGCGATTTAAATATATTTTATCCGGACTGCCAATGGTCGCTTTTTTAAAGGTTGATGTTAGTAATATACGCTCACCATTTATACATGCATGTCTACCTATGCTTATACATACATGTCTGTCTGTACATATGCTGTTACCATAAGGTTTTACGCACTAATTAAACCCTTTCTTATATAATTAAGATAATATTTGATTACTTTATTTCTTCACTCACCTCACCACCACCACCACCATTCACCACCACTCACCACCACCACCACCACCTCACCACCCTCACCACCACCACCACCTCACCACCACCACCTTTACTCACTCACTCACCTCACTCACTCACTCACCTCACTCACTCACTCACTCACTCACTCACTCACTCACTCACTCACCTCACTCACTCACCTCACCAGGGTTACCACGACGAGCACGGCAATAAATACAAGGGTCACGACGACAAGCACAAGTATTATGGCGACGCTCACAAGGGCAAGAAGGGCAAGAAAGGTCACCACTACGGCTCCAAAGGTCACCACAACAAAGGTCACAAAGATAAGGTGAGTGGCTTATCATTTTCTTGAATATTTTGTGGTTAATAATATAGAAAATCTTTGTAGTTTCATCTGTTATACATTTTTTCATATTAGTTTTAACTTAAATTGTTTGATAATATAACAGCTCTTAATGAGGCCAGGTATTTCGTCTCAGTCCGTTGTAGCTGTAAAGAAGAAAGTGTTTTTCATTTAACTGTGGACACCAGGTATTATTTTTGTTTACACTCTCACTCGTGCTCCCTGCCGGTTCTTACCCCTAATAATAACAAAGTTTATTGTTAGATGTGCTGGGTAATCCATTGTAAACTCCATTAGTGTGATTCACCCTCAGTTGCTCCAATCAATCCACCACATGACCACTGATTGTTAGAGTTACGAAGATCAACAATAGTTCTTGTTTTCATCTCAAGACTAAACTCACAATGGACCTATGAGTCAGTTAGCTATTCAAGATAAATATTTCTATTCATGTGTTGACTGTACCTCATACTGACACTCACTCACGCCACATAGGGGCAGAAGGACGTGCACCACAAGGAGGAGTACCACCACACCAAGAAGTTCTATGATGACGGTGACAAGAAGAAGTACTACGGGAAACACGACTCATTTGACAGCTACTTCGATGCTCACAAGGGGAAGGACTTCAAGGGCGGTCATTATAAGGTAGGTCCTATTACATGTTAATACTGTACCTGAGGGAATATACCGTCTACCGAGGATACAGGTGTGTGTGTGTGTGTGTGTGTGTGTGTGTGTGTGTGTGTGTGTGTGTGTGTGTGTGTGTGTGTGTGTGTGTGTGTGTGTGTGTGTGTGTGGTGTGTTTGTGTGGTGTTAATAATAATAATAAATATTATTGAAAAGTCTGCAGCCAAAAGCTGAAAATATACATTTGACATAAATGACTATTACACATTGTGGTTCAACAACTATTAAAAAGGAAAGGAACATACAGGATACAGATTAATGTAGGGAACAGCAACACGTAGTGTGTAACTTCACAGAGTAGAGGAACTCGTATTCCACAGTGTGTGTGTACTGTAAAAGACCCTCTCACTATGCCTTCCTCCCTCCCTCTTCTTCCCTCCCTTCTCCCCCTCCTCCCTCCTTCTCGCCTTCCTCACTCCCCCCTCCTTCCTCCCTCCCTCTTCCTCCCTCCCTCTTCCTCCCTCACTCACCCTCTTCTCCTCACCCCAGGGAGGTTCCCACCACGACAAACACGGCAAGAAGGGCCACCATGAGAAGGGCAAGTACCACGACGACCACAAGGGCCACAAGGGCCTATATGGCGACAAGGGCCACTATGGCCACAAGAGTTCCTATGGCAAGAAGGGCGGACACAAGGGCGATTATGGCCACGACGACCACAAGGGATATGGCCATGATGACCACAAGGGCCATGACGACCACAAGGGCTATGGCCACGACGACCATAAGGGATATGGCCACGACGACCATAAGGGATATGGCCATGACGACCATGGCCACGGAGATGTACGATGACCACAAGGATGGCCGCGGCGACCACAAGGAATATGTACGACGACCACCAAGGGATATGTTACATACGGCCACGGAGGATATGGCCGACGACCCTAAGAGATATGGCCACGACGACCACAAGGGATATGGCCACGACGACCACGGCCGCGGAGGATATGGCCACGACGACCACAGGGATATGGCCGACGACCATAGCCACGGAGGATGTGCGACGACCATAATACGGGGATATGGCCACGACGACCACGAGATATGGCCATGACGACCACAAGGGATATAATACGACGACCACAAAGGGATATGGCCGACGACCACAGCCCACGGAGGATATGGCCGACGACCACAAGAGATATGGCCGACGACCTGAGGTTATGGCCACGACGACCGGGGATATGGCCACGACGACCACGGCCACGGAGGATATGGCCACGACGACCACAAAGGATATGGCCACGACGACCATGGCCACGGAGGATATGGCCACGACGACCACAAAGGATATGGCCACGACGACCATGGCGGCTATGGGTCTCACTCCATTGTCAAACCCTTGACCATTGTTCCTGGTGACGTCACAATAGCACCACTCACTGACAGTCATGCAGCAGGACCTCTCGTTGACAGCCATACAGCAGCAGCAGGACCTCTCGTTGACAGCCATACAGCAGCAGCAGGACCTCTCGTTGACAGCCATGCAGTAGCCTGAACGCCTCCAACAAACAGTCACGCAGCAGCAGCCACAGCTCCTCCCACGAGCAGCAACAACTGCAGAGTAAACTCCCCGCCATACTAAATCTGTCGACACCACCACCATCACCACCACTACTACTACCTCCACCACCACCACTACCACCATCACCACCACTACTACTACCTCCACCACCACCACTACCACCATCACCACCACTACTACTACCTCCACCACCACCACTACCACCATCACCATTACCTGACTTCCCCAATAACGGCGTCTAAACTTGGGTCACCTACTGGACTACCGAGAGATCACTACAGCCGCAGCTCTACACCCTCCTGCCGTCACGCCATGTCTCAGATGTACACTGTGGAAGCCTCTGCCTCACGCTTTATAACATTTGTTTCGCATTGTTTGTTTACTGTTTGCAACTTGTCGTAAATACATACATAGAATAAGTCTTTGTTTGTTTGTATAAGTTTTTTATGTAAATATATGGAAATAAAACATTTTTTTCCTTACGTTATGTTTAACTGATACAAAATACCTAAACTAATCAAACCTAACCTAACCTAACCCCCCCAAGTAGTGTTAAGCTGGGTGAGTTAATCTTAAGGTGAGCCAAATATTCTTTTAGTTTACATTATACACAGCAGAGGTCTTGTTCAGAGGTACACCTGTGACGTTAGTTATGATCTAATTTCGCCTCACCAAACTTCACAAAGAAACAAGAAACTCAAAAGAACTTCCTCCCGCCTTCAGTTCAGCTCCTGCAAAAAGTCGTAGAGGCACGGCAGCCACCAACAACACTGCAGGGAACAGATAAACATTAATTACACTGAGTCAACCTCGTGTGTGGCGGGGTGAATGACGAGACCACGCCACACAACCTCTCGCTTCCTTCATGAGAGAGGGAGAGAGAGAGAGAGAGAGAGAGAGAGAGAGAGAGAACGACTGTCGTGTTGTCCCATAGTAGAGTCAGTGAATTGTCTCTCCGTCTACCTGTCTACTTCTCCGCCCTCCTGTCCGTCTACCTGTCTACTTCTCCGCCCTCCTGTCCGTCTCTTAGTCTCTTTAATGACTCTAGGTGAACCCTGTCAGGTGAGTGTGAGGGTCGCTTGGCCACCTGACCTATTATTCAGGGTTGTGTGGCCATCTTTTAGGGTCGTTTGGCCATCTGACCTATTATTCAGGGTTGTGTGGCCATCTTTTAGGGTCGTTTGACCATCTGACCTATATTATTCAATGTGTGGCCACCATCCCTTAGGGTCGTTTGGCCACCAGACCTATTATTCAGTGTTGTGTGGCCATCTTTTAGGGTCGTTTGGCCACCTGACCTATTATTCAGTTTGTGTGGCCATCTTTTAGGGTCGTTTGGCCACCTGACCTATTATTCAATGTTGTATGGCCATATTTTAGGGTCGTGTGGCCATCTCTCAGGGTCTTGTGGCCATAACTATGCTGTACTCATTCTCTCTCAACTGACCTTCGTGAGTTAATATAAAACAAAATTAGCAAGACAAATTTTTTTTAATTCAATAAATACATTCAATATAATATCCATCTGAGCATGTCTGTATGTCGGTATGCCTGCATGTCTGTATGTCGGTATGCCTGCATGTCTGTATGTCGGTATGCCTGCATGTCTGTATGTCGGTATGCCTGCATGTCTGTATGTCTGTATGCCTGCATGTCTGTATGTCGGTATGACTGCATGTCTGTGTCGGTGTGCCTGCATGTCTGTAAGGCTGTCGGTATGACTGCGCCGTTCAGGCGTCGGTATGCCTGCATGTCTGTATGTCTGTATGCCTGCATGTCTGTATGTCTGTATGCCTGCATGTCTGTATGTCGGTATGACTGCATGTCTGTATGTCGGTATGCATGTCTGTATGTCGGTATGACTGCATGTCTGTATGTCGGTATGCCTGCATGTCTGTATGTCTGTATGCCTGCATGTCTGTATGTCTGTATGCCTGCATGTCTGTATGTCTGTATGCCTATAGGTAAGTGTGTTGTATACAGAAACGTCAGTGGTGGGTGTGTGAGTAGGCTAAGTGGGTCGTGTGTGGGATGGGTGGGTGGGTCGTGGTGGGGGTTGGGGTGGTGGGGTGGGTCAGGTGGGTGGGTCGGGTGGAGTGGGGTGGGTTTTCAGATATTTCAGGTGGATAGGTGGCTGGCTGGGTGGGTGGGTGGCGGGTCGGGTGGATAAGTAGGTTGGCGGTTAAAGCAGAAAACGTAAATAATGCTAAAATACGTGTATAATTTAAACCTTGCAGGAGCGTTTAGGAAAAGTTACAGTGAACCAGATGCGCGGAATCGGTCAAGGGGGAGGGGGAGGGAGGGAGGGGTAAAGTACACTATGTTACAGACGAGGGTATATATAACTATGCGATACAGCAGTAACAGCGGGAACAGCAGCAGCATGAGGAACAGCAGCAGCATGAGGAACAGCAGCAGCATGAGGGACAGCAGCAGAAGCAGTGACGGGCTTCACGAAGGAATGTGAACCGTAGTCTGGAACAAGAGACAGCTGGGTTAGTGGATGTTGATGTTGTGATGTTTACTACCGAACATGACGTAACATACAAGGTAAATAAACATTGCTTTCTCTCTTTCTCTATCTCTATCTCTCTCTCACTCTCTCTCTATCTCTATCTCTCTCTCTCAGAAAGAAAAGAGAGATAGAATTAGAGGGAGAGTCATTAATTCATGGAGCGAATAATATTGGGACTTCCTTGGTAACTCACCGCCGCCGCCATGATCACTGCCTCCGTAGCCGCCACTGCCGTGTCCACTGCCTCTGTAGCCGCCACTGCCTTGTCCACCGCCTCCATAGCCGCCACTGCCGTGTCCACCAGCCGCCACCGGCGCCATGTCCACCGCCTCCATGACCGCCACTGCCGTGTCCACCGCCTCCGTAGCCGCCACTGCTGTGTCCACTGCTCCATAGTCGCCACCGCCGTCTACTGCCTCCGCAGCCGCCACTGCCGTGTCCACTGCCTCCGTAGCCGCCACTGCCGTGTCCACTGCCTCCACTCACTAGCCGCCACCGGCGCCATGTCCACCGCCCCATGACCGCCATACTGCCGTGTCCACCGCCTCGCGCCGCCACCCGTGTCCACTGCCGCCGCCACTGCCGTGTCCACCGCCGCCCACTGCCTCCGTAGCCGCCACTGCCGTGTCCACCGCCTCCATAGCCGCCACTGCCGTGTCCACCGTCACCATAGCCGCCACCGGCGCCATGTCCACCGCCTCCATGACCGCCACTGCCGTGTCCACCGCCTCCGTAGCCGCCACTAACATGTCCGCCGCCTCCGTAGCCGCCACTACCATGTCCACCGCCACCATAGCCGCCACCATAGCCGCCACCGCCGCCATGTCCACCGCCATGACCGCCACTGCCGTGTCCACCGCCACCATGACTCTTGCTTTTACTGGTACCATAACTGCCCTTGTGTCCGCCCTTGTCGCCATAGGAACTCTTAGTGCCATAGTGGCCCTTGTCGCCATAGTGGCCCTTGTGGCCCTGATGGTCGTCGTGATACTTGCCCTTATCAAATTGGCCCTTCTTACCGTGTTTGTCGTGGTGCTGCCCGCCCTGAGGGAGAGATGGGGAGTGAGTGAGGTAGAGGGAGGGAGAGAGGGAGAGTGAGTGAGGGAGAGAGGGAGAGAGTGAGGGAGAGAGGGAGGGTGAATAAGAGAGAGTGAGGGAGAGAGGGAGAGTGAGTGAGTGAGGGAGAGGGAGAGCGGGAGAGTGAGTGAGGGAGAGAGTGAGGGAGAATGTGAGGATGAGACACGAAGGATGGGGGTCGTACTCAGAGGGTAATAGTCTTTAGGGGTGGTACTCAAGGGGTCATAGTCTATAATATATGGTCGTACTCTAGAAGGCTCATACTCTAGAGGTCGTACTCTAGGAGGCTCGTACTCTAGGAGGGTCGTAATCTAGGGGTCGTACTCTAGACTGGGAAGCAGAAGAAGAGAGGGAGGGGGTCGTACCTTATAGTGGCCACCTTTGAAGTCTTTGCCTTTGTGGGTGTCGAAGTAGCTGTCAAAATCATCAGAGCTGGTGTGGTACTCGTTGTTGTCACCGTCATCATAAAACTTCTTGGTGTGGTGGTATTCCTCTTTGTGGTGGACGTTCTTCTCTCCCTGTGTGGTGAGAGAGAAGGTAATTATCTCCCTGTGTGGTGAGAGAGAAGGTAATTATCTCCCTGTGTGGTGAGAGAGAAGGTAATTATCTCCCTGTGTGGTGAGAGAGAAGGTAATTATCTCCCTGTGTGGTGAGAGAGAAGGTAATTATCTCCCTGTGTGGTGAGAGAGAAGGTAATTATCTCCCTGTGTGGTGAGAGAGAAGGTAATTATCTCCCTGTGTGGTGAGAGAGAAGGTAATTATAGAGAGAAGGTAATTATCTCCCTGTGTGATGAGAGAGAAGGTAATTATCTCCCTGTGTGGTGAGAGAGAAGGTAATTATCTCCCTGTGTGGTGAGAGAGAAGGTAATTATATCCCTGTGTGGTGAGAGAGAAGGTAATTATCTCCCTGTGTGGTGAGAGAGAAGGTAATTATCTCCCTGTGTGGTGAGAGAGAAGGTAATTATCTCCCTGTGTGGTGAGAGAGAAGGTAATTATCTCTCTCTAAGAAAATTAAATCCCATCTCAACTACAACACTAAGAAACAAACTTACCTTATCACTGTGGCCCTTGTTACTGTGGCCCTTAGACCCTGAATGGTGGCCCTTTTTGCCCTTCTGGCCCTTCTTAGCGTCGCCGTGGTACTGGTGTTTATCGTCATGGCCCTTATACTTCTTGCCCTGGGTGTCGTAGTAACCCTGAGGGAGAGTCGTGGTAAAGTTAGCAACATGGTATAATATAATGTTTACCAACCAGCAAGAATAATGTTGATCACTCTCTCTCTCTCTCTCTCTCTCCCTCTCTCTCTTTCTCTCTCTCTCTACTCACCCCGGTCTGAGCCTTGCCGTAGTCCCCATAGTGATTGCCCTTGTAGCCTTGATTGCCCTTGTAGCCCTTGTTCCCCTTGTAGCCTGCCTTGTCGTGGTAACTGCCGGTGTAACCTTGTTGGCCAGTGTGACTCTTCCCTCCTCCTCCTCTTCCTCTTCCTCCTCCTCCTCTTCCTCTTCCTCCTCCTCCTCCGTAACCTGTGTGAGTGCAGGAAGAAGGCGTTGAGATGTCGGACTCATTTTGTTGATTCATTGTACTCAGGTGATTCATTGTACTTTGGGGATACATTGTACTCAGGGGATTCATTGTACTCGGGTGATTCATTGTACTCGGGTGATTCATTGTACTTTGGGGATACATTGTACTCAGGGGATTCATTGTACTCGGGTGATTCATTGTACCCTTGTGGATTTATAGTACTCATGGGGTTAACTCATTGTACTCAAGAGGTTAGACATGGTGTAGACTGCCTGAGACACGATAAGGCAGAGCTGAGTTATTTATCCGTTGGTTCTGACTTGTTCTTCCCTACAGTGTAACCTCTATTTAACGGACGATATGGAGAGGAAATTCCGGTATATCGAGGGTTCGTTAGATTATGAAACCTCCATCTACCGGATTATATATAGAGAGACGTCCGTTATCTGGAGGGTTAACTGTATTACTGGGATAAGACTAAAAATTTATATTTACGTATTGTTGAGGATAAGACTCACCTGTAGCGGCGGTGTGGAGGTCTTCGTCAGCCACCACGGAGACCTGCTGACTCTCTGCTAGGTCTTCGTCAGCCACCACGGAGACCTGCTGACTCTCTGCTAGGTCTTCGTCAGCCACCACGGAGACCTGCTGACTCTCTGCTGGTAGGAGGAGGAGGTCGACCTTCAAGGGGTCCTGGAGGTGGAGGTCATCATCCTTCTCCAGCTGCCCCAAGGTCGAGGCCCTCACCGTCGTTGTCACCACCAGCAGGAGCACTAAGACGAAGTGCTGACGAAAGACAAACAAAATGAGTGATAGGTGACAGTAACTGGTGGTGCCTCGCCTCTACACCTGCAGGAGAAGCGTCTCTCTGTTGTAGGACCTGAGATCTCAGCGTCTGTTTTATCAACACCGATAACACTAATTAATCTCTAAAGTTTATACGATACTCACCAAAGTAGCAGCGGCCATCGTGGTGTGGTGATCAGAGAGCCTGGACAGGTGCTTTCAGGACCAGGGCTCGAGTCCCACTGAATATCAACCCCCGATTCAATCTCTAATATACCTGCATGTGTTTCCTCCTTGGCCTCCGTGTTCCATCATCCACACAACCACCTCGTTTGATCTCTTAATTACCGCCTTCACAAGATCATTAGGCGTTAAACGATCACTTGACGGTTCATTGTCTCTCTACTATTTATTTTATATTTTAAGTTTAGTGACGTTTTATTGTAATTTACGATAGACAAATATCCCAAAATTCACGAGAGCAACAAAACGTATCGTAAAATTTAAACGACTTATTTTTTATTTGTACAGTTCTTTAATGTCTTTGTGTTCCGCCGTGTTAGGGTGTTTAATCTTCAGGTGAAATAAGCTGGGGGTCCTAATCTTCAGGTGAACTAAGTTGGGGGTCCTGATCTTCAGGTGAAATAAGCTGGGGGTCCTAATTTTCAGGTGAACTAAGTTGGGGGTCCTAATCTTCAGGTGAAATCAGCTGGGGGTCCTAATTTTCAGGTGAACTAAGTTGGGGTCCTAATCTTCAGGTGAAATAAGCTGGGGGTCCTAATTTTCAGGTGAACTAAGTTGGGGGTCCTAATCTTCAGGTGAAATAAGCTGGGGGTCCTAATTTTCAGGTGAACTAAGTTGGGGTCCTAATTTTCAGGCGAAATAAGCTGGGGGTCCTAATCTTCAGGTGAAATAAGCTGGGGGTCCTAATCTTCAGGTGAATATACTACTCATCAGAGAATATTCACTAAGAAAGACATCATTGTAATTCCCAGTCGTAGTAAAGACACAATTGTGAAAGTTCTCTCGCTTGATCTTGTCTGGTCGAGGAGAAGGAAAATTCAGTGTTGCAATAAAGTCCTTGCAAAGTTGGTTGTTGCAACACGTGAAGTAGAACGATAAATGGACGTTGACCTACTACCGTATAATGTGTGTGGTTATTGTGTATGACGTCACACAGGTACAGTGTGTGTGTGTGTGTGTGTGTGTGTGTGTGTACTACAAGAGCTCATTAAGTCTACAATGTCTCTATTATATTTCAGTTCCTCTTCTAAGGTAAAAGTTGTGAAGACAGTAGAGTAATTAAGACTCTTGACGAGGTGGTTCATTTTCTGGGCAGGGGAGGAGAGGGAGAGATTCTTATCACACTATATAGATCCAAGACTCAGGATCTCTCTCTCAGTACTACACGACCCTCGTCCTGTCAACACCTCGGAGGGTCAATGATGGCCCCCGAGTTCCCCGTAACATAGAAAGTAAGAACCTCAATCACGAGTCAATAAAAGCCAGACGATTTCAGCTTTTAAAGTTTAACATTGTTGAAAGAAAAATAAACAAAAACATTACAGCACTTTCTATAATAATGTATCCCTTCAATAATCTCTATATTAACTTAAATACCCCCAGGTCTTAGTCTGTACATAATTACTAAAACAAACAGCCAAGTATAGTTATCTTCCTCTGCCATTATTACATACACTTATCCCTCGTAAAACAAAAACAAATGAAGTACTATGTTTCAATACTTCCTCTTTGTCAACTACATAAAGGAGTTTTAGTTTACCAATACGATTTTCACCTAGACAATATTAATTCAGTGTTATAAAGATGATATTTTTTATGTTATTTCCAACACACTTAAGTTTCTGAAAAGATGAACAACACATTATAACTATTTTTTGTGGGATTTTTAATTTTTTTGGAAGAATAATGAACAGGAGTGGGTGTTTCGTCTCCAAACACACATACTGCATCTGACTGTCTGTTTATCTTCTGCGTGAGGTGAATCAAGGGTTACTAACATAGAAAAAGTGGAGTTTGTAGGGGAGACTGATGAAGTGTGATGAGAGACGAGGAAAGGACTGCAGGACTCTCTCTCTCTCTCGTGTGTGGGGGTGGTTCAAGGAAAAGATAAAATGACAAAAGAGGAAAGAGAAGACAAAAATAGAGAGTTGTGGAAGGGATGAGGTACTGGGGACACACACACACACACACACACACACACAGTTGGTTACGTTACTGTTATGGAGGTTAATGTTAGGTTAGGTTAGGTTAGGTTACTGTTAGGGTAGTGAATGTTAAGGTAAAATAAGCTGGCTGGGGGTTAGGTTAGGTCAGGTGAACCAAATATCAAGAACCACGAGGAGATGATTTTTTTGTACTCAGAAATTCTATGAGTTTAATAAGAGGTCTGAGATATACATTCCTGACGAAGGCCCCGACGAAGGAGTTCCTGGTAGTACAGTTCATTAATTACAGTAAAGTTCAGCGGCTTCTGTTTGTTCATACGAGTTAGTGGAAGTGTTGACGTGGGGATAAATTAGTTGTCTGCAGGTGAGGAGAAAACAGGTGTGTGTGTGTGTGTGTGTGTGGAGTATTAAGCCACATACCTCCAGGTCTTCCTCTGTACATAATTATTACACAAACAAACATTAAAGTCTATTTTTTCTTTTTCTGGCATTATTAAATACACGTGGAGAGAGAGAGAGAGAGAGGAAGAGAGAGAGAGAGAGAGAGAGAGAGAGAGAGAGAGAGAGAGAGAGAGAGAGAGAGAGAGAGAGAGAGAGAGAGAGAGAGAGAGAGAGAGAGAGAGAGAAAGAGAGAGAGAGAGAGAGAGAGAGGAAGAGAGAGAGAGAGAGAGAGAGAGAGAGACCTGCCCTGTGTGTAGAGAAGCTTGATCGACTTAAACAACAATCGTTCATATTTCATTAAATAAATTCAGTTTACTACACACACACACACACACACACACACACACACACACACACACACACACACACACACACACACACACACACACAGGAAAAATACAAACAAGAAAATATTACATAAAGTGATTTTGTATTTATAACATGACTACAATAATACAGTAGTAATCATCAGAGTACAGAAATACTACAAAATAAAATAATATCTATACCTAATTTATTTTCTTGCTATATACAGAAATAAAACATGAAATAGTATACACAATAAGAGAAAGGTTGAGTCCATGGGTGTATTCATAACAATTACCGTATGTCTGAGTGTCTTGTAGACCTGAGCATGTCTCTGTTGTCATCTTTAGGTCGTGATGGTTTTCAATGGGTGTCTTTATACCCGAAGATGACCCGTTAAAAGGCCTCACAGATCCCTACCCCAGCAGAACAACGTGTGTCAGGGAGGAAGTAACAATGTCTCACTCAACCCAGAGGCTGTATCACCTCTGGGTAACACCACTCAGCGAGCCTCAACACCGCCTTAAGCTGTGACAACCACTGATGTTTAGGTAATGTTAATATATAAATAATTAATACGAAAAAACATGGATGATCTTGTTTAGTTATTTGGCCTCTCTCATTACCTACGACCATAGCTGCTTCCACCATGACCGTAGCCGCCACCATGACCGTAGCCTCTACCATGACTGTTACCATCATGTCCGTAGCCGCCACCATGACTGCCACCATCATGTCCGTAGCCGCCACCATGACTGCCACCTTCATGTCCGTAGCCGCCACCATGACTGTTACCATCATGTCCGTAGCCGCCACCATGACCGCAGCCACCATCATGTCCGTAGCCGCCACCATGACTGTTACCATCATGTCCGTAGCCTCTACCATGACTGCCACCATCACTGTAACTGTCACTGTCTCCGTAATTACTGCTGTGTCTATAGTTATCGTGGCCATGGCCTTTATGCCCACTGTGGCCCTTGTGTCCGCCAATATCGCCATAGGAGCTCTTAGTGCCATAGTGGTCCTTGTCGCCATATTGGTCCTTGTGGCCCTGATGGTCGTCGTTGTACTTGCCCTTGTTAAAGTGGCCCTTCTTGCCGTGTTGCTCGTGGTGCTGTCCGCCCTGAGGGAGAGAGGGAGAGTGAGTGAGTGAGAGAGGGAGAGTGAGTGAGGGAGAGAGGGAGAGTGAGTGAGGGAGAGAGGGAGAGTGAGTGAGGGAGAGAGGGAGAGTGAGTGAGGGAGAGAGGGAGAGTGAGGTGAGGGAGAGAGTTGAGGAGTGAGTATGAGACACGAGGGTGAATGAGGGAGAGAGACCGAGGCAGTAAGGGGTAAGGGGTGAGGGTGAGAGAGGTTGTATTCAATATGACGATCTTGTATCTTAAATGGTCCCCTTAATAGCCCTGACCTCGTACAGTACTGGCAGCCCTTGTAGCCCTTACCTTGTAGTGGCGGCCCTTGTAGTCCTGGCCCTTGTGGGAGTTGAAGTAGGCCTCAATATCGTCGAAGGCGCTGTGGTGGTGCCTGCTGGCGCTGTCGTCGAAGTGTTTGTTGTCGACGTGGTACTCCTCCGCGTGTTGCTCCCTCTGGTGACCCTGCAGGACGCCACCCGGAGGAATATTATCATAGTTATGGGTGTTTTTTGGTGTTGCTGCTCCCGTTTTCTTTGATAAGTAATACTGACACAAAATGGCATAGAATCCTGCTGTATACTATTTATTATTCGTTTATTTACTACTACTACTACTATTACTACTACTACTACTTTTTTACGTGGCCTCTACTACCACTACCACTGCTACCACCAACCTTATCTCTATATCCCTTGTTGTAGCTTCCTTGAGAGCCGTAGTGACCGCCCCTCACACCCTCACCAGCCTCCTCCTCCTTAGCGTAATACCCGTGTTTATCTCCTCCTCCCTGGTACTGCTTGCCTCCGTCTCCTTGGTAACCCTGAGTGGTGGAGGGGGGGTCAGAAGATGATATTAGTGTGGGTAAACAAATAAAGTTATCTCAGGTTGTGAGTGAGTGAGTGAGTGAGTGAGTGAGTGTCTGGGTGTCATTATCTCACTAGCTGGTTGTCAGAAGTAGAGAGAGAGAGACTCACGCCAGACTTAGCCTTTGAATGGTCGCCATAGTCACTGCCCTTGTAGCCTGAGTCCTGCTTGTAGCCCTTGTGACCCTTGGACCCTGCCTTGTCGCGATGGCCATCCTTGTAGTGCTTCTGGCCCTTGTAGGTGTGGTAGCCTTTGTGGCCTTTGTGGTCGTCCTGGTATCCTGTAGCGGCGGTGTGGAGGTCTTCGTCAGCCACTACGAAAATCTGATGACTCTCTGCTGGTAGGAGGAGGAGGTCGACTTCTACAGGGTCCTGGAGGGGGAGGAGGTCGACTTCTACAGGGTCCTGGAGGGGGAGGAAGACATCAGCACTAACGTCATCCTTCTCCTGTTGACTATTGGTCGAGGCCATCACCACCGTCGTCGTCGTCACCACCAGCAGTAGAGGGATGGTGAGTACGTGCTGCTGATGGAGAAGAGGAAGGTGTTACACTGCTGTATTAAATGCCTGTGTGTGTGTGTGTGTGTGTGTGTGTGTGTGTGTGTGTGTGTGTGTGTGTGTGTAAACTAGAGACGTGGGCGCCATCTGTCGGACAAGATCTAGTCGTTAATACAAGTGCCTCCAGACGAACCATTTCCCCTCAACAGGCCGCGTCGAGGGGTGTGTGGGTGTGTGGCCGATTCCCCCCCACATACATACACAAAGGACTCAAATCACCGTCCAGAACACACCTGAAGGTTAACTGGAGGTTGTACTCGAAAATCTTGGGTTGGCGACCACATCCCTCCCACCAACTGTTATTAGTAATTCTAGTGTACCCATCTATCGTTATTTAATGGTAAAGTAACGAAAATTAATCCTTTACGTACTAGTATACCTCCACGGCCCATGTTATCATCTGGTCCACCACCAAGCAGGACAGTTGTGACCAGAATGAGCGCCTCCCACGCACTAAACTCATCCTATCTCCCCCGTTTCTTTATATAGACTCACTCCCTCCCTCACCTGATCTATCCACCTGTACCGTCACGCCCACCAATCATCTCCACGGTCTGGCCTCCTATTTTCCTCACCATTAAGCCTTCAAAAACACAATGCCAGCCAGGTAGTTGTGTGTGGGCTTAACGACCTCCCGTGTGAAAGTAAAAACGGGATTGGTTTTACGTTTAAGTGATCCGAGAAGAGAGGTTGGTGTCTCTATTTACGTGTTGCTATGACCAGGTAGTAGTAGTATTAGTAGTAATAGTAGTAGTAGTAGTAGCAGTGGTAGTAGTATTAGTATCATTAATCCGTCTATGAGTGGCTGTGTGTGTATCAGTATAGTGCAGTGTGGTGACCTTGAAGGGAAACCTCTACACACAGGGCTGACAACCTACCCGAGTGTGACCAATCATGGCTGTCTGCTGAAAAGGTAAACACGGTGAATAATCTTACAGGTGTTTGAACTCAGGGTCGGGAACAACACCTGTCGGGGAGATATGTTAAATAAGACTTAGGAATAATAGTTTTGTTCTAGATGTGAGTGTAGTTACAGGTGAGAATACAGGTGTGGATGACGGATACAGGTATGGGTACAGGTATATGTATTAGTACGGATAAAAGGTCATATGTAGGTGTGAATCCGGGTACAGTATATTTACAAGTACACACACACATGATCAGTTAGAGAGAGAGAGAGAGAGAGAGAGAGAGAGTGTGTGTAGTTCTCAATATCTCACATACACTACACTGACAAATCATCACACGTTCATATTTTTTCCAAACATTTTCCTCGAAGTCTGAGTCCAGGTGATGACGCTCACGAACGCACGGTAAATTTGCTTTCGTCTCGGGCCAGTGTCACCAGCGGGCCTTGTGTCGCCTGTTCAGTTACTCAACTGTTCAATCAGACGATGGCAAATTGATTCACCTCCATCGACCATTGACGAGTTTAGTGTAGAGTAGGTCGTAGTTTTCGCAAGTCTCGTCCCAGTTGAGCAGTCTCGTGGGCTGGGTGTTGGTGAGTCTCAAGTTAAGGGATCACCTGATGATTAGTGACCCTTCCTCCCCCCCCCCTTCATTATATTTCCCCTAACCTAACCTAACCTAACCTAACCTAACCTTATAGCCAGTTCGTGTTCACTTCCTTTTGTCAAGTAATTTGTATTTAAAAACAAACGTTTACTGGAACATCATATGTGTGTGTGTGTGTGTGTGTGTGTGTGTGTGTGTGTGTGTGTCTGTCCCACCTTAAAACGACACAGTAAAACGAACATAAGTAATGGAACAAAAATTTTACTTTACACAGAGTCTCAGTGTAATACCAGCGCCATTTTACTCTTCCTTAACATCCGGAAGGGAAGAAACCTAACGAGCGAACCTTTGAGTAATTAGACCACTAACAAGCACTGTCACTGATGGTAGAATAAATGAGTATGAGGAACCTAAAATTAATGTGAGAAGGAGAGGTGTAGGAGGAGGGGTGGGGAGGGTGTAAGAGAGGGAGGAGGGTGTGTGGGAGGAGGGGTGGGGAGGGGTGGGAGGAGGGTGGAGGGGTGTAGGGAGGAGGGGTGTAGGGGAGGAGGGGTGGGAGGAGGAGGTGTAGGGAGGAGGGGGTGTAGGTGTAGGAGGAGGGGTGTAGGAGGAGGAGGGGTGTAAGAGAGGTGTAGGAGGAGGGGTGGAGGGGTGGATAGGAATGGATGGATGCAAAAAGGGAGTAAGGGGTGGAGAGGGGTGTGGAAGGTTGGATGAGGGGTGGGGAGGGATATGGAGGAGTGTGGAGGGTGTGGATGAAGGATGGTAAGGATGGAGCTGCGTGGAAAGGGGTGTAGAGGTGAGAGTGGAGGGGCGTGACCCGGAGTTAATATATTTCTTAGCACTCTGATGAACAGGAGGAAGGGAGGAGGGAGCAAGGGAGGAGGGAGCAAGGGAGGAGGGAGGAAGGGAGGGTAGTAGTAACAAGGGAGGAGGGAGGAAGGGAGGGTAGTAGTAACAAGGGAGGAGGGAGGAAGGGAGGGTAGTAGTAACAAGGGAGGAGGGAGGAAGGGAGGGTAGTAGTAACAAGGGAGGAGGGAGGAAGGGAGGGTAGTAGTAACAAGGGAGGAGGGAGGAAGGGAGGAGAGAGGGGAGGGAGCACAGTAACTGTCGCAGTTTAATTTGATTCCGTCTCAAGTCCTCCTTAACGATCCTAAAGGAGATTGGAATCCTCTTTTTCACTAATCCCTGGAGTTGATTGGGTCTTCAGTCCTGCCTTATGTAACGCCAATACTGCTAACTCAACGAGAGGAACGAGGAAGTCTCTATAAATCTTATTAGGAGTCTCTAACAAGCGGTGAGGGTCCTTTGTCATATCTTGATCTGGTGATAATGTCTCTAGCTGTCCCCACTTCCCTTCTTTATCGTTGTTGCCTCTTCCGTATTTTCTTTCTTTCTTGCTCAATTAATTAAACAAATAATAATAAATAAACGACTACATTCACACCCAAAATAAAAACAATTAAAAAAAAAATATTACAAATACGAATGTTTGAAAATGAGGTCGACCTTCCCTCCTCCAGGTGACCATGGGAAGGCAGGGTATATAAACCACGTCGAGGTGATAGTGTCAGCAGTAGCACTTCATCTCCGTCCCTTCACCACCTCCTCCTCTGCTCTCCCTCGTGAGCGGACAAGAAAAATGTATACTATCCAACGGGTAAGATGATGGAAGTGTAGCTGAGGTGTTTTGAGCTGAGGAAAGAGAAGAGAGACATCACAAATAATCTTACCTTTATATTGACTATCTCTTTCTGTCTCAGCTACCAGCCGCCATGTTGGTGTTGGTGCTGGCGGTGGCGGCCTCAGCCAGAGTGGAGGCCGACCCTAGTGTTGATCTCCTCCTCCAAGACCCCGTAGAGGCTGACCTCCTCCTCCTACCAGCAGAGAGTCAGCAGGTCTCCGTAGTGGCTAAGGACAACCTCCACACAGCCGCTACTGGTAGGTGCTTTTCGATGCATAAGGTCGAGTTGTTTATCACTTGAACTTATTCTTAAAGTAGGACGTTGGTGCTCGAGGCTGACGAATATTTAATTAGTGTAACGTGAGGTGTGTGTGTGTGTGTGTGTGTGTGTGCGCGTGTGTGTGTGTGTGTGTGTGTGTGCGTGTGTGTGTGGGTGTGTGTGTGTGTGTGTGTGTGTGTGTGTGTGTGTGTGTGTGTGTGTGTGTGTGTGTGTGTGTGTGTGTGTGTGTGTGTGTGTGTGTGTGTGTGTGTGTGTAGTCAAGATGTCTGCCAACAGTAATACACCTCTACCATGACAGGTTATGGTGGCGGTAAGGGTTATGGCGGCCACAGTGGCTACCATGGCGACTACCATGACAAGGGCGGCTACAAAGGGCACGACGGCTACCATGCCGACCATGGCCATAAGGGCAACCACTATGGCGACCATGGCAAGGCTGGATATAGTGTGAGTTGACATTTTGATATAAATTGTATATTATAGCTCCTTAAAGACGATGGTTTAAGTTATAGGTGTTATAGACGATGGTTTAAGTTATAGGTGTTATAGACGATGGTTTAAGTTATAGGTGTTATAGACGATGGTTTAAGTTATAGGTGTTATAGACGATGGTTTAAGTTATAGGTGTTATAGACCTATAATCATTAAAGGTCCTCAAATAAAACCATTAAACCCCAACACCTGATTATAGGGTTACCATGACGACCACGGCAAGAACTACAAGGGTCACGACGACAAGCACAAGTATTATGGCGACGCTCACAAGGGCAAGAAGGGCAAGAAAGGTCACCACTACGGCTCCAAAGGTCACCATAACAAAGGTCACAAAGATAAGGTGAGTGGCTTATCATTTTCTTGAGGATTTGGTTAAATAAGAAACAGATGATTTTTTATATATTTCTTCATTCACAAAAATAATTAAAGTATTTTGGAGTGTTGTTGATGATTAATATGTATCCATTAATTGTATCACACAGGTACAGATACAAGTACAGGTACAGATGATGTTACAGCTATAGATACGAGCACAGGTAGAGAGAGAGTTACAGGTACCTTTATAATTACAGGTAGAGAGAGTTACAGGTACAGATATAAGCATAGGTACAAATACAATTACAAGTAGATATACAGGTTGTGGGTGTAGATACAAGTACAGGTGTGAGTGAAGCATGAGGCACTCGTCTGACGGGTTCACTCACTCACTCTGTGTCGTGGTGTCGTTCCTCTCAGGGTCACAAGGACGTGTACCACAAGGAGGAGTACCACCACAACAAGAAGTTCTACGACGACCACGACGACAAGAAGTACCACAACAAGTATGACGACTACGACAGCTACTTCAAGGCTCACCACGGCGACGACTACAAGGGCGGCCACTACAAGGTACAGTACGACCACACATAAACACGACCACTACGACCCTTAGGTTGTGGCTATAGTTTAATGAGTTTTATGTTTGTTTTTGTTTTGTTTCTTGAGTTAATAAAACATCTTCTGTTTTAACTGTCTGTGTGTGTTGTCACAGGGCGGTCACCACCACGACCAGCACGGCAAGAAGGGCCACCACGACAAGGGCAAGTACCACGACGACCATGCCGGCCACGACGGCCACTATGGCGACAAGGGCCACTATGGCCACAAGAGCTCCTATGGCGACCATGGAGGACATAAGGGCCACTATGGACACGATGACCACAAGGGATATGGCCATGGTGGCGGTGGACATGGTGGCGGCGGACATGGTGGCGGTTATGGACATGGTGGCGGTTATGGACATGGTGGCGGCGGACATGGTGGCGGCTATGGTCATGGTGGTGGAGGACATGGCCATAGTGGTGGCGGTCATGGCCATGGTGGCGGATACGGGCATTAGTGCCTACTGAAAACACTCCTTCCTTCGTGTGTTATGAGTCCTTCCAGTCTCGTAAAGTCCTACTGAGTGTCCCCGGCTGGTTCCTAGTAATGTCCTGCGCCTCTCCTGGACGCTGTGAAGGAAGGATCACCTCTCCTCCTCCCCGCTACTGTTATGATCAACCTTGTGTACTTACGACAGCTGGATGGCTACGAATTGATGTTTATCTTACACACACACACACACACACACGCACACACACACACACGACCTTGTTTACGAGTTGCTTCATAAAACAGAGTAATTTATTTATTTTGTAATATATATATACATACCTGTCTACTTCATGTTCTAAACCTGTATCGTATTTGTGCAATAAACAACAAATATTAGAGTTTTTGTTTTATTAAGGATTAAACTCACTAATAAACACCATGGAAGAGGCGAGCTGAGTGACAGACTTGACAGTGTGAACAAAGGTGTCAAATTATCCCTAACTTTTGGAAGATATTTGACGGAAAAATCTTAATTAACGACTTTACCTGAGAGTCAACTGTGATACAAGATAGACATACGTACATACACCTCATGTACGTCCGTGTCCGTTATGTTCGTGTCTGTCAGTTGCTTCCGTATTTGTCCGTCACGTCCGTCAGGTTAAAGTTTACTCGTGAGGGATAGTTCTGAAAGGTGTTGACAGACGGATCACCTTGCAGCTCGTTAGTGTGTGTGTGTCTTTTCGGCCAGCAGCACCGGCAGGTAGTTCGGTAACAAGCATAATCCGAGATCATTATTATTGGAAGTGGGTCAAGGAGTTTGGGGTCATATCGGGTGTTCGACTTTAGTAAATCCACTCAGCGTCTCATATAATATTGCTAAGTAAGGATTAGTTTAGCATTAGGTTTAGGTTAGGTTTAGGCTTGGTTGGGTTTAGGTTAGGTTAAGGATGGGTTACGTTAGGTTTAGTTGATTACTACTACTACTTTTTTTTTCCAAACGTGGCCTCCATCCTCCCCTTATAGCCACACCTTCGCCGCCATTTTAATACCCTAAAATTAAATAACCTAATACATAAGTAGCTGTCCCAGCTGTGTTGAGTTAGTTGAGCCGCAGATCTATGCGGCATTCAGTGACTGTTGCCTCATAGTCAATATCTGCAGCTCTTGTCGGCCTTGGGGCCGATGCTCTCGTTCCCCTAAGGCAGAGCAAAAACGACCTAAGGAGAGAGAAGGACAGTCGACATCTCATCCAGGCTGTAACATAACTTCTGGGCTGCTGCTTCTGTCCGGATATCACCTCCGCGAGTCTGGCGTAGAAGCATCTTGCACTTGGTCCCATCCCACCAGAGGTTGTGAACACTAGAGGAGTGACGCTGCCTTGATCAACGTTCTGAATTCTCTCCCTGTATGCCCTTATCTTGTCGTTCTCATGCAGCATCGAGAGCTACGTTACGGTGACATGCGACCATGGGATCAACTACAACAACCATTACCCCTACTACTGCTACTACTACTACTAATGATGATGATGACGATGATGATGATGATGATGATGATGATAGCAGCACATCCCTCATATACCTATAACATTATCATTTACAGTTACTTACAGTTAGTTATAGATACAGTTAGTTAGAGATACAGTTAGTTAGAAATACAGTTAGTTAGAGATACAGTTAGTTACATACACAGCTAGTTATAGATACAGTTAGCTACTGACACAGTTACGGGTATATTTAGTTACAGGTGCAGTTAATTAAAGATACAGTTACATTTAGTTAGTTAGTTACATAGACAGTTAGTTACGAAACCAGTTATTACAGATAGTTAGTTATAGCTACAGTTAGTTACAGGTATATTTAGTTATAGGTACAGTTAGCTATAGATACAGTTACGATACAGCATACAGTTAGGTAATTCGAGATACAGTCTACGTCTTTCTATCAATGGAGGGTCGTCTCTCTCTCTCTCTCTCTCTCTCTCTCTCTCTCTCCCTCTCTCCCCTCCCCCTCTCTCACTCTTCCATTCCTCACCATTGTCACCATCATCATATACACCCTCACACCATCATTATCACTATTATCACCATCATACCACCTCACCATCACCCTCACACCCCCTCACCTCACCATCACCACACCCCCTCACCTCACCATCACCTCACCATCACCACCCCTCACCATCACCACCATTACCACCTCACCATCACCACCACACCCCCACCATCACCACCATTACCACCTTCACCATCACCTCACCATCACCTCACCATCACCACACCTCACCATCACCACCATTACCACCTCCTCACCATCACCACACCCCACCATCACCACCATTACCACCTCACCTCACCATCACCTCACCATCACCACACCCCTCACCTCACACCATCACCTCACCATCACCACACCCTCACCATCACCACCATTACCACCTCACCATCACCTCACCATCACCACACCCCTCACCATCACCACCATTACCACCTCACCATCACCACACCATCACCACACCCCCACACCATCACCTCACCACCACCTCACCATCGTCCGTGGGAGTGAGATCCTCTTATAGCTACTCTGATGAAAGGATTCCGGAGCTGATAAGACAGGATCAAGACTCGCTCTAAAGGGGATTAGATTCTCTCTCCTCTAGATGAATCTTTATGAGTTTAAGTGAGACTTCTAATATTAAGTACGGAGCGGGGGGTCTGTCTGTCTTGTGTGTCCCTGTTTGTCTGTATGTCTGTCTTTCTGCTTTGTCTGTGTCTTTGTTTTGTTTGTCTGTTTTATCTGTTTGTGTGTGTGTGTGTGTGTGTGTGTGTTTATAAGTGTATTAGACACCTAGACACACGTATGTATGATTGTATGTTTATATTCATATAAGTAAGCATATGCTTATGCTAACATACAGGTATATATTTATTAATATATGAAAATACAGTCATATAAACACACATAAACGCACTTAGACACACACACACACACACACACACACACACACACACACACACACACACACACACACTCAAGACAGAGTTGCAACATTCTCCTCCAATGACAACGAAAATATAGACTCTCATTTGAATGCCACTTGGGGAAATGTCGACCAATCACTGAGCTGCATTTTTTTTTACCAATGGGCGTTCACCAGTAACCAGGTATAAATAGGACGGCGGTAGGCAAGTAGAAGACAGTGGTACTCCACCTCTCGACCTGTCAACACCTTGTGGTCTTGAAGATGTGTGGCGTCGAATGGGTACGTGTTAGTGTGTGGTGCTCCTTCAACTTGTGTTTTAAATGGATGTGTTTTTGGCAATGGTGTTTGTATTTGGTGAAATTTATTTGTTATTTCTCTCTTTCTCTCTCTCTATCTCTCTGTATCTCTCGCTATCTCCCCCTCGTTCTCTCTCTCTCTTGGACAACCTTTCAAGAAAATAATCACAGCGTCTGTAACTCCAGATAAGAGCCGTCGTGCTCCTGCTGGTGGCGACGACGGTGAGGGCCTCGGCCTTAGGGCAGCTAGAGAAGGCTGATGACCTCCCCCTCCAGGACCCCGTACAGGTCGACCTCCTCCTCCTACCAGCAGAGAGTCAGCAGGTCTCCGTAGTGGCTGGCGAAGACCTCCACACCGCTGCTACAGGTGAGTCACAAAAGGTCTGTCTCTCCGACCATGACCCGCGTCTTGCCAGTAAAGGTTAACTAAGATATACGTATTCATATACATATTGATATACATAATCTCATTCTCTTCTTCCATATTTTATCCATTTATACATATACATGACAAAGGTTCTTACGCTCTACCATGACAGGTTATGGTGGCGGTAAGGGTTATGGCAGCCACAGTGGCTACCATGGCGACTACCATGACAAGGGCGGCTACAAAGGGCACGACGGCTACCATGCCGACCATGGCCATAAGGGCAACCACTATGGCGACCATGGCAAGGCTGGATATAGTGTGAGTTGACATTTTGATATAAATTGTATGTTTTAATTCCTTAAAGACGATGGTTTAAGTTATAGGTGTTATAGACGATGGTTTAACCTATAATCATTAAAGGTCCCCAAATAAAACCATTAAACCCCAACACCTGATTATAGGGTTACCATGACGACCACGGCAAGAACTACAAGGGTCACGACGACAAGCACAAGTATTATGGCGACGCTCACAAGGGCAAGAAGGGCAAGAAAGGTCACCACTACGGCTCCAAAGGTCACCACAACAAAGGTCACAAAGATAAGGTGAGTGGCTTATCATTTTCTTGAGGATTTTGATCAATTTTATCTGTCACATTCTCTTAGACAGATAAATGGAAAGCTAGATGCAGTATTGCCTTGTAGTTTCTAAGACAAAGGTTAACTTGTACTTGTAGGGGTACAAGGACGTGTACCACAAGGAGGAGTACCACCACAACAAGAAGTTCTACGACGACCACGACGACAAGAAGTACCACAACAAGTATGACGACTACGACAGCTACTTCAAGGCTCAAAAGGGCAAGGACTACAAGGGCGGCCACTACAAGGTACAGTACGACCACACATAAACACGACCACTACGACCCTCAGGTTGTGGCTATAGTTTAATGAGTTTTATGTTTGTTTTTGTTTTGTTTCTTGAGTTAATAAAACATCTTCTGTTTTAACTGTCTGTGTGTGTTGTCTCAGGGCGGTCACCACCACGACCAGCACGGCAAGAAGGGCCACCACGACAAGGGCAAGTACCACGACGACCATGCCGGCCACGACGGCCACTATGGCGACAAGGGCCACTATGGCCACAAGAGCTCCTATGGCGACCATGGAGGACATAAGGGCCACTATGGACACGATGACCACAAGGGATATGGCCATGGTGGCGGTGGACATGGTGGTGGCGGCGGACATGGTGGTGGTGGACATGGTAGCGGCTATGGTCATGGTGGTGGAGGACATGGCCATGGTGGTGGCGGTTATGGACATGGTGGCGGCGGACATGGTGGTGGCGGACATGGTGGTGGCGGTTATGGACATGGTGGCGGCGGACATGGTGGCGGCTATGGCCATGGTAGTGGGCATGGTGGCGGCTATGGTCACTGAGATCATGGTAGCGGCTATGATCATGGCGGTGGACAGAGTAGAGGCTATGGTCATGGTAACCACTAGTATGGTAGTCATGGTAGCCAGGCAGACGTTCCCAGCGCTTCTTGTTATTTTTCTAATAAACTTCTAACAAGCAAAAGTTCCGGTGACATGTTTTCTTACAGTCCTTCAGTCGTCTTTCATATATCTGTCTAGAACCTTGTCCTCTGTAACCCCCGATAGACAGATAGACAGGCGGATAGATAGACAGTGTGGCTAGACGTAAAGGGAAGCTCCGTCTATCCCGTCTGTCTCTCTCTCACCGCTGTAACAGATGTGGTGTACTGTGGCGGTGGAGCTCCGTAGTTATGGCTTCCAAGTAAAGGCGTTTGTTTAACTCCTGAGAGTCAGTGTTAATTACAGGTGTGTCTTATTAGAACCTTCGTACTTCAAACTCTGAATTTGAGGGATTCTGGATTCAAGAGTTCGGGTTTCAGATATCCAAGGATTTTCTCGGGTTCAGATTCGGAATACGGAAATCTTGGGTTCAGGGTTCAACATTAAGAGATCTTGGGTTCGGATTTGGGATTCAGAACGGTGGTTTGAGCCTGGAATTAGAACTCGCTTCGGGTACGTGAATCGGGTTCAGAGAAAAATATCGACGAAACCCAAAGCGCGGATTCATACCATCGTTCTGAACCCGTACCTGAAATTTGCCCTCGCACATAATATAAACTGAGTCTCTTGAATATATAATCACATTTTAACAACTGAAAGAGATGAATAATGGACAGTTTTTAATTTCCTTAACCAATAACTTTGTCCTAAATATTGCAACATATCAAACACCTAACTTATTAATAACTTTAATTGCACCGCTCGCCAGGTAAACCAATTAACTACAATAATTAATTAGTAGTAAAGTTTCTCTTAATCTTTGATGATTGTAAGGTAAAAGAGAAGGATTATTTTGCCCTAATGAATAATATCAAGAGATTAAATAGTTTTGACCTGTGTGTGTGGGGGATCTATGTGTATGTTGGGGTGCATGTGTGTATGTGTGTGGGGATCTATGTATGTATGTTGGGGTGCATGTGTGTATGTGTGTGTGTGGGGGATCTATGTATGTATGTTGGGGTGCATGTGTGTGTGTGTGTGTGTGGGGGGATCTATGTATGTATGTTAGGGTGCATATGTGTATGTGTGTGTGTGTGGGGATCTATGTATGTATGTTAGGGTGCATGTGTGTGTGGGGGATCTATGTATGTATGTTGGGGTGCATGTGTGTATGTGTGTGTGGGGGGATCTATGTATGTATGTTAGGGTGCATATGTGTATGTGTGTGTGTGTGTGGGTGGCGTGTATGTGTGTGTGTGTATATCTGTACTTTTAATAAGTGTAATAAAACACAAGATTCCACACACATACTTAATAAATAAATAAGTAAATAAACACTTAATAAACAAGACACAATAAAACACAAACGAGAAATAAGGCCATATCCCCCCCTAGATAATATCCGGGATGATTTATGCAATACGGAATTAATGAATCTAGTAATTGCATTTATCCGATCTTTTGACGAGTGGACCTGACGCCATTTGATGATTGATTAGCGGCACAACTCTTATGGTTCATATTATCCGGTTTGTAAACATTCCGTTGTGGCGTGTGGTGGCGGGAACCAGAAAGTAAACATTAGAGAGATTTAATAATTTAATGATGTTTATTCTCATTCTAACTGTAGTGGATGTGGTTGTGGTGGATGTGGTTGTGGTGGATGTGGTTGTGGTGGATGTGGTTGTGGTGGATGTGGTTGTGGTGGATGTGGTTGTGGTGGATGTGGTTGTGGTGGATGTGGTTGTGGTGGATGTGGTTGTGGTGGAGGTGGTTGTGGTGGATGTGGTTGTGGTGGATGTGGTTGTGGTGGATGTGGTTGTGGTGGATGTGGTTGTGGTGGATGTGGTTGTGGTGGATGTGGTTGTGGTGGATGTGTTGTGGTGTTTTTCTTCATGAACACAGATCATTAAGACACACACACACACACACACATAACACAGCATTAGCCATCCCAGATCTCAAGTGGTAAGGGTTCGTTTTCTCTCGTGGATTCGATCTTTGGATTCGGCGACGTAGGAAGAGGAACCGAATCCCGGTACATAAAATCAACACCAAGATGGCCAGACCAAGTTATCGGTTTCTTTAAGATGACGACAGAAAATTTCCAGAAAATGGTGGATATGACAGCAGTTTGTATCAACGAAATGGATATAAATTACAGGTGTTCTAATGGAGTTTAAGAAAGGAAAGCTGTATTTTTAGGGTAATGATTTGGCGTGAGGTGATGGAGGTGTGGTGGTGGTGGAGAGAGTTGGTAGTGGTGGAGGCGTGGTGGTGTGGGGGAGGTAAGTGGTGGTGGTGGAGAGAGTTGGTAGTGGTGGAGGTGGTGGTGGGGGGAGGTAAGTGGTGGTGGTGGAGAGAGTTGGTAGTGGTGGAGGTGTGGTGGTGTGGGGGAGGTAAGTGGTGGTGGTGGAGAGAGTTGGTAGTGGTGGAGGCGTGGTGGTGTGGGGGAGGTAAGTGGTGGTGGTGGAGAGAGTTGGTAGTGGTGGAGGCGTGGAAGAGGAGGTGGTGGTGGTAGAGGTGTGGAAGAGGAGGTGGTGGTGGTAGAGGTGTGGAAGAGGAAGGTGATGAACCAATAAGACTTGTTCTTACTTTCCCAGACACGTGAAGGAAAACAACAATAATCATTGTCCAAAAACCTAAGAAAGTTTTCACACACGAAGCTTTGATGATAATCTTTCTATATGTTGTAATTTAAATAAATCTGCCAGACGTTCTCTCAAGCCTTCACACACCAGGAGGAAAAACTCACCTTGCTAAATTTTTAAACCTCCATTATTCTGGCTGGCTGGCTGGCTGGCTGGCTGGCTGGCTGGCTGGCTCGCGCGCGTCTGGTTCAGGAAGGATAATGACGTGATAAACTCTCCTTATGGCGCTCAGGAACGACCAACAGAATTTTGATTTACGATCTAGCGACACAAGAAGGAACGACTTAGAACTCGACTGATACCACGAGTGATGTAACAATAGGGTCATACAATAATAGGGTCGTGCATGATAAGCAATTGGTTTTATATCTCAGGTCATGATATAGTGGTCCTTGTGGCCATGATAGTCGTGCTGGTACTTTGTGGTGGTCGTGTTGTCGTGGTGGTCGTGGTGGACAACCTGAGGAGAGGAGAGCTGAGGGTCACGTCCAGTTAACAATGTACACACGTTATGATGGCCAAGAGGGGAGGAGGTCACACTCTCTCTTTGATCCCGACGACTCCCTCTGGTGTATGCCCTTAGAGACCAACTATAATCATCCTTTCCTAAACTAACGTAACCTAACCTAACCAAAGATCATTAGACAACAAAAAACATCACCTCCATCTATTTCAAAATAAATTATTAAAGTTCCATTAGAACGAAGACAAAATGGACTTAAACCTCGAATGAAGGGACTGACAAACAAACACAAAATCACACAAACATACAAACAAACAAACAAACACCTGAAGATAATTAAGGTAAAAGGTAAATTAACTTACCTGTCAGGAACAAATACACTCATGCCAACTCATGTAACTTGAGAATCTAATCAACAACTCAAAGAGACGTGACGTGAGGAAGACTGTGAGGCTTAATGAGTGACCTGAAGGCCGCCTCGTCTTAACTCTGTTTACGGGTCTGGCCGAAGGGGAGGTGAGAGAAGTGATAATAATAATGTAATAGTTGTGGTACTACTACTAGGGCTACTGCTGCTACTTCTACTACTACTACTACTACTACTAATAATAATAACCCTCGCACATCCCTCCTCCATTACCCCTATAAGGTTGTGGGTAACATATAAAACAATATGAGCATCAGGGAACAGGATCCAATACTATCTTAAAGGATACTGAACACCTTTTCATTCCTTTATACCATTTTGTACCGAGTGACGTAAAGTTCCATAAACAGTTATGGGATAATATTGTTCTTTGATGATGTTTTGATTACAGACAGACATACAGACACACACGCACGCACATACTCACAATCAGTTTTACCACACTCAGATTTGCTTTTGGGTGTGTGTGTGTGGGTGTGGATTTTAGCTTGATTAAACCTTTTAGAATTTCCTCATAAGGGTCGACCACCACTTCACCAGCCTCCCCTCACAGTGTCAGGATGTATCAGGAGGAAACAAAGACGAAAATCAAGAGAAAAACGAAAAAACGAAAACAAAAATAGAAAGAAAAAACCGAAAAACAAGAAAAAACGAAAAAGTAGTTTCCCAGAGTTCATCATGAGCGGCACCTGTGAGCGTTAAACACCAAAGCAAGTTTAACTACACGCGGGAAGCTGAGAAATTCCCTCACCACTTTCATCTTTTAGTCAAACTCTTATAAAAAAAATCCATCATTAATGGCGGTAATGGTAGACGAAATGAAGTTTATAAATAATTTACCTCGACTATTGATAAGTTGTTGTGTGTCTCGAGATGTTAAAATAACTAATAACTTTAAATGGTTCTTGAATTTGAGGTTATTTTCCTTACGGGGGATTCTTGTCTTTGTAATGGCGGCTGGTAAATGGTCTTGCATCTTAGGTTTGTAAATGGTTTTCTCTTTAGTAAAATGGCTCCTGACTTCAGCCCGTCACTTGCAGCTATTCTCCTGCCGTGTTACAGACCAGATTAATCGCTCCAGTGCAAGAATAATTGGATTTAATTTTCTCTTGCCTTTGGATTACATTTGTTGCACGCTCCTGGAGGCGAAAGTTGAAAGAGCGAGAGAGGAAAATCACCTCATGTGTTACCAAGTCCATTCTACGACCAGGAAAAAGCACCAAAAAACCTTCAGAACACGAGATATCCATTCACCGCCTGGGGAAAATTCTGAAATGTTAGAAGACCGCCATTCCAAGCACAGGAAATAGCAGCTCTAACTAGTTATCCTTGGTAGTAAATACTTGATATCGAAGTGTACTGGACGTTACCTGGGCAGAGAGAGAGAGAGAGAGAGAGAGAGAGTTTAAATCACATTGTCGATACAAACAGTGGCTGGGAGGTCAGACGTGAATCACTGTGATATATAAGAACCATCGGAGAGGGAAGATAT